TCATTATGTGCACATATGGTCATGACGTTCACATATAGTCATACACAGTAAAATGACCTTCGACAAGATGAAGTTGGCCTAATATGATGCATTTGCCCGAAATCAAGTCAGTTATAATATAACAAGATCTCTCGCTGTTCAATAATATGGACTTCATGTGACTGTACATCGGATAATTTTCTGGGGATTGTCGAAAACGTGACTTTGCCGCAGATGTATCAAAAACGAAACCAACTAATTTACTACGTGGTCACGTGACCCTTTCTTTTTCACTCAAAAACCGGTTTTTGCAATAATAATAAGCAAAGTGATAATAATAACAGTTAACAAAATTTTCAAAATTTGCACGAGATACATACAGAAAGAACTATATATATTTAGTAATGATTTCTTTTCGTCGCCAGCTAACTTCTCGAGCTCTACGACACTGCGTTAGTAGCCATCTCAGAGAGGGGGTAGCTCATAAATCAACGGAGAAAGAGAACCAGGATCATGAGGTTGAGGATGGCAAACTTATTACGGAATTAAACGTACCAAAAAATAGCATCAATGATTATCTAGCAAGTCTCAAAAGAAAATGGATAGCCGACGAGAAGATGCTAGAGTTGAGTGCACGCACATTGCAATATAGCCAGATGTATATACAAGACTTGGAAATGATACACGACAAACTTCAACAAATACTAGAGGAGAAGAATAACCGTATAAACCAATTAAAAGGAGAGATCGAACAAGATGTGCAAACAATAACTGATAATAGTCGCAACGTTTTTGCAAAGTATAAAGAAATCGCTGACCAGAAAAAGGCAGAACATCCTTTACGTGCAAACAAAGCAAGAACATACAGACTTGAAAAGATTTGTGATATCAAGGCAGCTTTAGAATACATATGGGCATTGGTAAGTGTATATTGTGCAATAAGCAATCATGTCTGTCTGTCTGTCTGTTATTCACTATAGAATCTTTTGCAAAAGATTCTTTCGAAAAACCCTTCAAAGAGGAGAGAATCTATTGACGCTGTGTTACAGTGGTGGTTTGAAAAAAACTCGGAACTTTTGCAAAAGACATGCGAGGCAAATGAATTGAACGTAGAATCCGTGAAAGCATGTGTCGCTGGTCTCTATGATGCATCATGCAAAAGACGGCATGGCCGTGAATATCGTATCGTAATTTTTGCAGAATATTGGAATCCAAATGAGGTGTTTGCCTTGGCACTCTTATTAAAGCATCATGATCTTCAATTTACTTATTCCGATACGACTGATACGACTGATATGACTGTTACGGATGTGGATAGACGTGATGCAAAATTTCCATATGATCTTAGTGCGAAATAATAAATGGTGCAAAAAGCTTTTTGCAGGCGATAATAAAATTTTTTTATTCTTAATGCAAACAACTTTGACGAATATCTAAAAACATAAAATTTGCTTGAAAAGCAAGATAATTACATCAAGTGTGAAAATCCGATCAAGCAAGTGTATCTGATCGACTAAAGCTTTCTTGAACTTACCTTGTGTTTAATATTGACGTCCGTTATCTCACTTAATAAAAAGTTTCTCTTCACGAAGAAGTATACATTTTATCGCTGGAATGATTAACTATGTTGCCTTGGTATGTGTCTTTTTTTTCCCCTCATGATTGGACCAGTTTAATGGTTAATTTAAATTTTTTCAAAATAAGCGAGGACAACAATTTTCTTGTGTATTATGTTACTATTGCGGTTGACTACTTTACCACTTAAAGCTGCATAAGTTTGCAGAATTCAAATTTACTTAAAAAAATAAATATGCGCTACAACAATTACCCTTCCAAGTGCTTATCTATTTATTGACAGCACTCTCGGTAAATAATTTCTACACACGTACCTGCATATAAAACTATTTATTATATTATTAGTATAACTCAAACATTTATTTGTTAAGAAAATGCTTTTAATCATACAAGCTATAATAACATGTGTTAAAATTAGTGTTATCAAATTAAGATATTCAATTACACGTACTAGTATATTAATATACAAATACCACTATTTTATTTATTTATATTTTAAATACTAGATCGTGATCGCTGGTAAAAAACGTATGGGACATACAAATTTATCTCGATTACAGACTATCAAAGACGCGAAACTGCTTCAATTACAAGAAGAGGAAAGCTTTAAAATTTATATTCTAACTTATAATAAAAGTTTATATTTGTTATTTAGCATTCAGATGCAGGTATTCACTAATAAAATTAACTTGGCGTTACTTGCTCCACTCGTATCGAGAATTCCGGATGTGCTTAAATGACACGTTTAAATGCAATAAGATTAATTATATTATTTTCCTTCTTGTTATCTTGTTTGCCAATATGATACCAAACCAATGTCAATGCTGCACCTGCAGAATATTGGCCCGATCAACCCACTTTTATACGATAATTAATTGCTGTAATCTCATCTCTGTCATTTATATAAACTACCTGGACAAAAGTATTGCACACCCAAATTTATTAATTGCTCAAAAGCGTATATAGTAATCACATCTCAAATTTAACATTTTATACTTCAACCAATAAATTAACTATACAAATTAATATTTAGTAGGCCAGCATAGTTTCTATCAAGCTGATTATTTATATTTGATTCATCAAAATTTTGCCCCATTCTTCTTGTAAAGCAGTTTGTAATTTTGTAATGTTTTTATTATTTGTTATTGTGGTCAGTTTTTTATTCTTCTTCTTCCCAGCTCTGACCATCAACGCTCAATTGGATTTAAGTTAGGAGACTGACTTGGCCAATTTGGTAAAATATTGGACCCAATACTTTACCTGAAAAACACAGCCACACTATTAGTCTTTTTACCTTTAAATTGAAACCTAATGTCAGGAGATCTCCAGACGTGGCCTGGTCCATCATTGTCAATCTCCTCTCATATCTCATTGCCCCAGATGACAGACTTTCATTTTCGAACCGCACATATTTTTTTTTTGAATGCACCATCTGACTCTGTTTACCTTGCTGATCACAGAAGAGGTTTCTGAGCCGGCACATAAAAAATTTTTTTATTTTATTTAAATTTCTTCTAATTGTTTTGGAGAAAAACTTCAATATTGGTTTTTTCAATAAAATTTTTTTTGATTTGTTCAGCAGAATTTTTATTGTAATGCTTAACAATAGTTTTTAACGTTTTTGACTTTCATGCGTCAACAATCTTGGACGCCCACTCCGAAGAACAAGTAGCAAGATCATCTTCTTTAATATACTTTGATAGTACGAGACACAGTTTTTCTGTAAACTTGAGAGTTTTACTGAGTTTAAGTTTGGATATTGGTTGGATGTTCTTGTAAAAGACCAATAATTTTACCGCATTGGCTTTCAGTTCGACGTTGAGTTCTTTTGCTGATATAATTTTATGTTTGTTTACAGAAAACAAAATTACATACACGTCTAATCAAAAGCCAGACGAAATTTTGAGACATTATTGTAATTTTAGGTGTGCGATACTTCTGTCCAGGTAGTGCATATTAATACACTCACTGGACAAAAGTCTACGTAATTTTTGCCGATCATCGATCCAAACGATTGTACAATCAAACTTTGAGA